CCGCCCCTCAACAAAAAACCCCCCCCCCCCCCCGAAAAAAAAAAAAAAAAAGATTAAGTAAAATAGCAAATGCATTGTACCGAACTAATATGGAGCCTTACAAATGGTAGGAATCAATCGATGGTAACTATGCTTTTTTATAAGGTAGAATTACATAGTGGAAGGAGCTTGGACTTTGGTGTTAGACTCGCTTACTGTGTTGGTTTCTTACTATATTATATTTGAATAATCTTTTTAATCATCAGTTATCTCACATTAAAATAGGGTACTACCTACCATAGAGGGTTGTTTTGAGAATTAAATGAGATAAATTATATAAATTGCTTTACTAAGTATCTTATACATAGTAGTCTCTCAAGAAATGTTGGTCTTTTCACTACCACTACCAGGTCATGTTGTGGAAGTGTTTGGTGAATGTGTAAATTATTTTAAGTAATTTTCAGTGTTTTCTTTATTATATGTAACATAGATTCACTTGGACCCTCAGAATCGTAAACGCATTATCTATCTGTGTTTCCTACTCCTTGACAGGTGAAATTTCTAATGTAAAGTAGGATTATTGGATTTAGAGGCCACTTCTCAGAACTTATTGTGTGCTACATACTGTAAATATGAAGTAAAAAATTTGATTTCTGTTGGCAGTAATTTAAATTATAGTAAGGAAGACAGCATATAAACAGATCATTGCAATATTTTATGGTATGTGTTACATTCATTGAATTTTGGTGATAGCACAGAGGACATGAACAAGAAGAGGTGAAGGAGTAAAAAGAATTTGATAGTTAAATGATTATATTTTCTGTTTTGACTCTTTTCTCCATAACTTAGCTAAAGCAGGTGACAATGACTTAACTTTATTGATCACTCGCCATGGGTCTAGCAGTAGACTAAGCTCTATGCATGTAGTAACTAATTTACTTCTCAAAGTGGGTAATAATATTATCCCTGCTTTACAGATGAAGAAGATGCACAAAGAAATAAAGCAGCTTGTTCAAGGTCATGCAGCTAATAGGTAGTTATAACAGGTATTTAAACCCTCAGGTAGTTTAGTTCCAAAACTCAAGCTTTTAACCACTACATAGTACTTCTAGTTAGTTAATAGCATTTAAACATCCTAATGACATGATAAACTGAAATACCCATTAACCACCTCAGCTTTTTAATTCATTCAAATTGGATGATTGTTAGAGTTAAATGAGAATTTAATACTGGAGTTTAGTGCCTGTATGACAGCAATAGGAAACTCATGGGACTATCAAGGATGATCTCTGTTGTACTTATGAGTGAAGACAAAATCAAATGACTTTTTAAAACTAATCAGAGCATTGCAGAATGTATAGGTTTGAGGGGGAATTTAATTTCCTTCAAACTGCCATTTGTATAACACCTTCCTAGACTTGAGTCTGTAAGACCATTACATCTTTTCCCATCAACTTAAAGTGTGTTAAATGTGGTGTATACAGGACAGGCGTCCTGGAGTTCGGATTCATGAATGCCCTTGAGCAGTACCTATGGCAGTCAGTTCAGAGTGCCAATCAGTTTAGAAATCAATTACAAGCAGTATTATAGAGCTACCAAAATTTTAATCATTTCTCCTGAGTATTGCTTGTTAAAGCAGGCCACCTGCTAGGTTATTTTTGTAGGAGTGTATAGTTCTGTTATAGGCATTACGTAAGCACAGAAGCAAATAACAGTGATGAGAAAAGAAATGTGTATTGGGTTATTTTAATTTAATTAAAAACAAATGTCAGATGACCCCAGGTTAATACTTACTAAAATAGTTTTAACTGGGACTAGCAGGTGGTGATTACTATTAAGTCACTCCCACATAGTCGACTGCTGTTCAAATCCCAGACTGAGCAACTTTAAACTCAACGTCAGACACATGTGCGTGCATGCGCAGAATCCCAAGAGGAGAGTGGAGGAGAGGGAATTGCGGCATGGGTATCCCCGTCAGGGGGTGATTTCTCACTTTCTGGCTCTCTCTGTCTCTCCGGCAAGCACACGTGCCCTATAGCAGAAATCTCTCTTAAAAAAAAAGAAAAGTTTTATAAACCTATGTGAACCTCGGCAGCCCAAAAGCTATTTCAGTCATTGTATACACATATATTTTATTGAATCAAAAGTTAGAAATTATCAAAATTACAGTTCTGCGATAAAACTTGAAAGTATAATAAATAACACAGTATTATAAACTGGAATTTTGTCAATTGAGTTGAATAAAATATTTCAATTAAATTGACGTCTTTCATGCAAGAAGCTCATACCCATATAGGAAAATGCTTAGAAAAGATCATTAGGGGACTGGCTCTATAGCTTAGTGCTTAAGGGAACTGGATCCCCCACAACCAACCATGGTTTGAATCCCTGTCTCAGTGGCTTGATAAACACTCTGTGTACTTTATGCATACTCCAGATTCCTGTAGGATGGAGAAGAAGGGATTACAGTGTGATTATACCCTGCAGGGTACTTTCTCCTTCTGTCTCTTTCTGGCCAACACACATAATGGCTGGAAATTAAAAAAGAAAGAAAGCAGTAGGATTATGCATAGCAAAGTTACCTTATGTTACTCATTTTCTCTTTTGGAGAAAAGTAACTTTTAAGCTGATTTTACAAATTATTGTAAACTAAAATTGACCTGCAAGTATTTTCAATTAATTATACTCTTAAATAGATTGTAAACTTCTTAAAGACAGGGTCTCCGTTTTATAACTCTTTGTTGTCCCCATAAATTATACAGTGTCCTGTTGGTTGAATAATTAACACCAATTTGTTATTGGATTGTGCTAATTACAAATGGAGAAAAAAATACTTTAATATTTTTCTTAGTTAAACTAGAAGTTTTATGCACCTACATATCTTTTTGGTCAAGTTAAATACAAAGAATAGCTGTACTTCAATGTATGCTATGTATGGGATTTCTTTAAGAATATGAGATTTGTTTTCCCCAATGAGGTCTGGTTACATAAATGACTAGGTACACTTTAAAGGGAAATGTTTACCTTCTTTTAAAAGTTGGGATATGAAATATTGCCAAGAGCAGTCCATTAGGTGAATGCAGAGCTAAAGAGCCTTGTTTCCTAAATTAGTGAAAGGATTTTCACACTAGGTTGGTCAGTATAATCCAGATAAAGTTCTTATGCAAGTTTCTGACTCAGACCACAGAAGTCATTGTTAAGGTAAGGTTTTTTGTTTTGTTTTGTTTTCTGTGTAGTTTCATTTTGAGTTGTGAATATGAAGTTTAAATGAGCAGCGGTAATGGGACTTTTGGTACCTAATCTTACTGCAGTACATTCTGATGTTGTAAAACACACTGGAGATTATAATAGTTTGGTTCTTATATAAATAAAGCAGTATTTGTTAATGTGTCTGTTACAGGTAGTTATAGTTTAATGTTTGCTTTTACTGGGACTTGTTTTGATTCATCATTTTTGACTCACTAGCAGCCATCTGTTATAATTTAACTTTCAGTGATCTATGTAATTTGGTTGTTGTTAATGAAGTGCTATAAATGGCATTATGAAGCTTTTCTCTTTTAATCTTGAAAGGAAAAAAATCCATATCTAAAAAAGCAATCACAAGGCACAAGAAGCACAAATCTGGAAAAAAAAATCCATATCTAAAAAAGCAATCACAAAGAAGAGGAAAACTGTCACAAAGTCACCTACTGTACCAGAATTTCAGGTAAATGTTTCAGTTTTGTCTCAACAGTTTTAGTTTAATTTTTAATTTTGCTGTTTATATCTTTCCGTTGGAGATTAACTGAATTTCAGGAAACTGTAACATACATGTTTTTAATGAAATGTTTTTGATGATGGCTTTTTTTCTCTAAGTCCAGAGATAGCCAAGATATAATCTGCTAGTATTTTGCCCTTTTTTACCTCTACTTTTATCTGTTGATAGTCAAAAACCTCTGTGGTAATTTAATGTGCTAACCTATAAGTTTTGTAGAAGTATTTTAATAAAATACATGTGTTTGTGTATACACATATACAAATGTGTAAATTTAAGTCTTTCAAGAGCAAATCTTAATTTGTAGATGGTAATATTACCTAGGCAATCCATTTTCATTTATTTGGATATTGCAAAAATAGCAGATTTATTAACTTGGAAACAGATCTTTTAACTCTTAGCTATATATGAACTTCAGAGAGAAGATTCATTAAAATGGTCTTTAAACATTTCTGAAAAAAGGAAGAGATAATTAATTGTATTTACTGTCATATGATTATGTGGAGAGTTTTTTTGTTCGTAATTTATACTAAGAATAAGCAGAGACTCACCATAATTGTATAATGCTTTTTATTTTCTATTTTATAAAAGATGTATTTTCTTCAACAAATGACACTTTCCTTAAAAATTTCTCCATATTAGTGTGCCTGGTTCATTACTAAAGGCTTTATAAGCTTATACTTAACTACCAAAAAAAGATAAAAGTGATATTAAAATGAATTTGTGAGTCTCAAATCAAGTAGAGATGAAAATAAAGGGAACAATAATTATAAAAATATTCATAACTTACAAGTGATTTTAACAATTACATATGTCCAAAAATGTGACACATCTATTTTAAGTAAAAACTATACTTTGGGAAGTTTTTAACAGAAGTTACTAATTGATAAAAATACAATAATTTTAAATCAACAGTGAAAGAAAATAGACATGTTTTTCTCTCAATATTTCAGAAGGTAGTATTTTTAATGACATTCCTAAGATCAATTACAAAATTTCAACAAAATTCTTTGTATGATCTATGACCTTAATTTCAGCATACATATTCAATTGAAATAGTATCGTATTACTGTTTACCTAGAAACCTTTCTGCTATTATTTGTAGTACATTATTTAATGTTAGAATATTCTCATGCTTCCACTGATATCATGCTAGCCTTTGTTATTTCTCCCACTAATTTTTTCCTCTGTTCCTCAAAGCATTAGTTCTGGGAATAAAGATCAAAGGACAAATCTGGCCCGTTAATATTTTCTCCGTTCCTGTCTTAATGAATAGACTTTTACATGTAATAAGTGGCATAGAGATAGTAGGCAATACTTTTTAAAATTGTAAGTATTCATTAGTAAGGCATGAAATCAGTTTAGTGAATTACATGTCCAGCATTATTTAAGCCAACAAAATTAAACTAGAAATTTATCAGAGTTTACCAAATGTACAAAGGTGTCACTATAGTAATGTGAATATGTATGGTGATATATTATTTCATGAAACTTGGTTTCAGTTCTGTTTGTACACAATGACATGCATAGTACAGTGTCTTTTTTTTACCATGAGTCGTAGGCAAAGAAGTTTGAAAAACACTGTCTTGAAAGCTGCGTTCAGTCAGTTATTCGCCATTTGCCTACCTCTCAGAAACTTAGGTCAAAAGTACATGTTTTGCTAGATGAAGCTGTTTAAAATAAATAAAGTCCCATTCCTGGTTCTTAAGCTGTCAGAGAGAAAGAACACAGGAATGTGCATGCGTCTGACTAGAGGTGAGAATAGTCTCATGAGAACAGTGATTTTTATGCCTAGCTTACAGTATAAATACCGTGGTTTTCCTCATTAAGAAAATTGGCAGTTATCTCACAGAGAGTAAGTCATTGGCTTTAAATAAACACATTAACAGAATAGGAGATAGTTATTAGTCACTGGCAAACTTTATTGTTAAATGCAAAACTTACAGCTTTGCCTCTCAAAATAATTTTAGGTAGTTTGTTACTGTAATTGAAAAATCTCACTTGTAAAAAGGCTATTATGTCATAAAGAAGTGAACTTCCTTGCCAAAGTTCTAGTAATATGATAGATAGTACCTTAGATTTTGCAAATTACTCATGTTATACATGTTGTTTTAAATATCAGATTCTAGTATTAAACATATATATTTTTAGGGATATTTAGCTAGAAGATTTTTAAAGTCCTAATGAATTAAAAAAGAAAATTGCTGTTTTGACCTACTTTTTAGTTTGACAATGTTTTTATTGACCTTCTTAAAACTAGAAATTAAACTTGCTTCTTTATTTGCTTTAGGAAAAATCCGTGTTTATTTATATACCTAATATCTGTACATCACCTTAAAAAATAATCATCTTTTTCCTATTTAGAGTAAGCACTGTGGGCATTCAAATGATGAATAGAATAATTTTTTTGTGCATATATTGGGACTAACTATATCTGTGCCACGTTTTCCTAAGGATTATGTTAGTAATTCTCAAACTTTAGATGGTATGCAAATAATCCGATGCCTTTATTATATAAGTTCCTTGGTTTCATCCTCCAAAGACAATGATTTAGTAGGTTTAGGAAGGTACCAGAAATCTGCATAATGGTTAAACACATGAGTTCTAGAACTAGGCTACTTGGATTTAATGCCAGCTATCCCACTTACTCACTGTAACCTTGGAAAAGTTACTTAACTTCTCTGTGATTCCAATTCCTCATCTATACAATGATGTAATAACAGTACCTACTTTTTAGGGTTGTTGTGAGGATTAAATTATACAGCTTAGTATTTTAGTTATTTATTTTTTCAAGTATGTAAGCTAGACACTTCTGATAAAAAGTACTGCATTATGAGTAGGAATATCAATTAAGAATTAGCTTAAGAACTTCTGTTATTGACCTTTAACAGTTTTTTCCAGCTTCTTTAGACCTTGAAATAAATCTTGGATTTGGTCTTATGAAAGTAGCAGATGATTAAGCCTACAAGAATTCAGAAAGTCAAAAACTAAGTAGTAATGTTTCCATCATCATATTTAACCAGAGCAAAAGCTGGTATTTATCCCTGCTCCAGTGTTAGGATACAGTTGGCATGTAGGAGAAATAGTTGAATTTCTTTTAGCCAGCAATAATTTCAAAATTAGGAAATCTTTTTAAGTGTTTAGAGTATTGATGATTTATACTTAGTTAAACTTAATATTTAGTTATAATTTTGCCAAATCAACTAAGTTGTTTTTTCATCAGTTTTGTAATATAAGAAATATTATTAGACTTAAACATGAATATCAGTTTTTCTAATAGTTAATTTTTTCAGAAGTATTTTTAAATTTAATATTTAAGAAAGAACTATATCATATAAATTCTTTTTGTACATAATTATAATAGAAAATATTTTTAAAATGGAGTGTGTCAAGTCTCAATAAGATATATTTTTTAAATAATTTAATTCCTTCGTTACCATTGACTGTGCTTTTCACTATGTTTAGGACCTTTTGATGATACCATTATTTTGAGTTGCTGCCTCCTACTAAGCAGTTTTTGGATTAGTTTTGTTTTGTTTTTTAAGTTTTTGCCTTAGGGCGAGAGGACTTACCAGAGAGAGACAGTGAAAAGAATACTGAGAAATCACTCCCTACCCCCCCCACCCCTCGCAGAGGGGATGGCCATGCCACTATCCTTTCTCCTTCACTCTCCTCCTGGAATCTTGGGTATGCACACATGCACCTGGTGTGATTTTCAAGCCACCAGGTCCAGGACTCGAACTGTGATCAGCCACGTGGGAGTCCAGTGTCTTCACCACCAAACCAGCTGCCAGCCCCTATAATGAGTATTTTCAACCTCAGTTTTTTGTTTCAGTTTTAATAGTAGGGATTTTAACTTTTCCCTTAATTTTTTTTCAGTTGTTTAAATATAGTGCAATGAGATAAACATTTACTTTAAATCACACAGTAGTAAAAATACTTCATTAACTTATTTATCAGACTAGTAGTCTTTATGTCACAAGTGGTATCTTCATTTGCAGATTTTGAAGTAATCATTATTGCCAAGGTGTTGATCATAAGAAATCAGAGAAAGTTTTCCTGTGTGCATATTTTTTTTTAACGGATATTGGTATCATTTTAGTTTAAATATAATATAAATTTTAAATTTATACAACGCCCTTAGTGAGTGATTTGCCTGCAATTTTTATAATAAACAGTAGAAACTTTTTGTTAGAATTAAAATAAGTATAGTCCATTTTGTATAAACCTATTCATTTTTGTTTCTACATTATTTTTTCTTTTTTTTTTTTTTTTTTTTTTAGGTTTTTGCCATATTTTGTGCTCACCAGAGACAGAGAGGGAAAGGAAGAAGTCACCCCAGGTGGAGGATGGCCATACCACAATTCTTTCTTCTCTTGATACTTTGGGCATACATGTACCCAGTGTGATTTTTAAGCCACTGGATCCAGGACTTGAACCGCACTTCACCATGAGGGAATTCAACATCTTAACCACCATACCACCTGCTTGCCCCCTCCCTTTGCTTTTTAACATCATCTACTGTATTGTCTGTATGTTACTTTATGTCCTTTTTTGGAACAAACAAGTATCTTTCAGACTATTGAGTTTCTACCCAAAGGCCATAATTTCTAGTTCGAAGTAGTGATAATGAATGATTTATAATTAATTTTTCTGAGATATGGTTATGGAATTTCTTTTGATCTTCTACAGGACCACCCCCCACCCTTCAGAAACATACATCAATTTCTACTTTTTGAGTTGAGGAGAAGGCCTTCTAATACTATCATTTAATAAAAATGAAAGCCTAGATTCAAATTAAATTCTTAAACTATGATACGTGCTCAATTGTTGTTAAGAGTTTTTGTTTTTCTTTGTTTAGAAAGACCCTTGAAAAAATATGATGTACTAAAAGTACTTCTGGGTTCTATGAGTTCCTATACTGGTGTGTCATCTTAAATAACTTCACTTCTTTAATTAGCTTATGTATGAATTTGACACATCATTTTTATCTTAGACTAAGACTTGGACCAAATTTCATATTTTTGATCCCCTTCAGCTCTTAAGATTTTTTTTTTTTCTGTTTTTTAGAGAGGTTTTTGCTATACGGCGCGCGCACTCGCCAGAAAGACAGAAAAAGACAGAGACAGAAAGCAAGAAATCACCCCCCGGGGGGGTGGCCACGCCGCAGTCCCTTCTCCTCCATTCTCCTCTCGGGATCTTGGGCACGCATGCACATGCACCCGGCGTGAGTTTGAGCCACCGGGTTCGGGACTCAAACCACAATCAACTGCATGGGAGTCCAGCAATATAGCCATTATGCTAACTGCTGGTCCCTGAGCTCTTAAGATTTTTGTAGCTCTGTCATGGGCTGTATCAAGTGAAAGGTTTATTTGAAAGAGAGTGTGGCAACGTTAAAGAGCTTCTTGCTGGGGATTAAAACTCTTCTCTGTAACCTCTTAAGTATAACTGAAAAATCTTTCATGAGAGTTGGCAGTATGACCTGACTGTAATCCGAGCTCCTATGGAGCTTTCCTTTTTACCCCCTCAGAGGCCTTGTTCCTCATGTTTTTAAAATTCAAAATAATGAGAAAGGGATTTTTAATAAGGTGTTTTGCTTTGTTTACAAATGCATCTGTTCTCCTTATTAAAATGAACTTTATTTATTGGATTGGTTCTGTTTTTAAAAGCACCATTTGAAACTAAGTATAATTGTGTTTTAATGCCACATATATGCTTTAGTTTGTGAAAGAGAATAGAGCTGTATATGACATTGAGTTGGTATAAATTAAATTATGTTCCAATGCAAGAATTTTCTAATAGCTTAACTTGACTCTCTATATATTGGGTTTATATATTAAGCATGTATTAAATGTATATATGGGAAGGATATGTAAGAGCATAAATTGCTATATAGACTTTTAAATCATTTTCATATTATGTAACTTCAAAGTAAATATTATTGCCAAAAATATTGGACCCTCAAATTTAACAGTTTGTATTTGATTTATGTCATTTATTTAAGGAACATTTGTCTTACTGTTTTGCATTTAATTCATTGTCCTGTTCTCCTGTTTGGAAATTAATCGTTTTGAATTTTCATATTCATCAGCTCAAAAGTATTATACCAAAATATTTCCTTAGCCATGCCGATTTGTAATTCATAATTTAGTACTCAAAAGGGTCATCTGCAGATTATACTTGAGAACTTATTAGAAACGCAGAATCCAAGATTTTACTTTTGAACTAGTAAATCAAAAACTACATTTTAACAAGATCCCCATGTGATTCTTATGCATATTAAAATTTGAGAAGCACTGTTTTAGTATGACTTAACTACTAGGTAAGCCACTTAAAGGTTTTTTACAGCTCTTAAGCTGTGGAAATCATCATTTGGTCTCATAATTGTGTTGTCTATTTCTTTAAATGGAATATAAATATTTGATTTCATGACTATTTGAGTATTAACAGATCTTGAAAATTTTTAGGGCATATTTAGTTATAGGGTATTTGTCTTCATTATTCTTGTTTCTACAAACTGCATGCAAAACATAATCCATATTCCTTGTACAGTGAAATAGCTAAACTGCAAGTGAAAACTTCTCTGGCTTTTGCCACACTTGCAAATGAGACATTAACTAGTAAAACAAGTTAGTGAAAAGGGATATAGCTTTATGCAGTCTCTGGGACAAATTTGGCAAACTTGTCCTAATTAGTAGATTATACTATAAGAAGTTTAGTTTTGTTGAATACTTAATAAAAATCTGCTATAGAGTAGACATTAATTCTAAGGCTTACTAGATGCAATAGACATTGAAGACATTATCTAGTTCTAGGGCACTTACCTGCTTGGAAAGTCCACTGCTTGACCATTAGCATTTCTTTCACAACTAGATTTAACAAATTAGAATGTGTAATTTCTAATAAATATCAGCTGAACTCTTCCATTTACATCACTGTGTACTGTTTTTTACTCTGAAATTGTTTAATTTGATTACTTATGTACTACTTTGTCAGTTCTGTGAGTTTGGAATTGTATAGATATTTGTAATGAGTAATTTTTAATGCTAATTATAATATCTATGGTGATTTTGTAGTCTATTAGGTTGAGCCATATTTCTATTTTTGTAAGCCCAAAGCATATCATTGATTTCATATGATTCACCCTCTTAGTAAAGGAAATTTAAGGAGATCCTTATCTCCTATTTTTGTCACTCAGTAGTCATCAGGAATTATCAGATTATAACCCACTTTTTGTTGTTTTGTTTACCTTTCTAATAAAAGAAAATATGGGAAAACATTACCCTTACATAGAAATTAATAAATGAAACAAACATAAGACTGGTTAAAGTTAATGGCAAATTAATCATTTATAAACAGTATTTTTTTTTAAATTATCGCTTGGTATGAATATTGAAACAAGACTTTCATTATTTTGTTTTTTTTTTCCTGTCAATGTGGTTGTAGTTTTGTTTCAGAAGTCTTCTATATTTTTTCACGATAGATATATGTAAAAAAAATTATTTTAGGAATAAAAGTTAAATATATTGAACTTAATTGGGAAAACTCAGTATAATTTTATGAGAACTCAAATGTAGCTACTATTATTTTTTATTACTGTTTCTGACACTTCACAGTTTACTAGTTTAGTAATAAAATCAAGATAGTTCAGTTTTTTACAACTTAAAATTAGTTATTTTGGCCATTTGCTAATGTTACCAAGGTAAAAAAAAGTAAGCCACAATTATGAAAGGAATTAGGTGCTATCTGTGGAGATGACTTTTATTAAGGCTATTAAACTTGTATTAAGAATATATACTAAATTTTATTTACATCCTTGAATATATTGCACACAGTTACAGTCCTTTATTAACAATTTCAACAGTAGTAGCTAAGATTTGTTAAATTGTTAAATTACGTAGTTAACAAACCAAAGCCAAAAGTATAATGACATTTCCCAAGGAGTGTATTTGTTCACCTGATGAAGCATTTCCTAAAGGAGATTCAGTAACCTGTAAAATCTAGGGCAGATTTCCAGATCTTTGTCATTCTGGCCTGAAAGTTAATAAAGTTGAAAAAGTACCTGGATTACAAAGCAAACTGAGAGATGGGGAGGTGAGATGACACCACCAATGTTGAAATTTCAGCTTTTATGCTAAGCTAGAAGTTCATACATCATAACAAGTAAATTTCATTTAAAACATAAACTGCAGGGCCTTTTTTTTTCTTTGATATTACAGAGAAAAATAATTGTGAATTCAGTGTGTGTTAAAACAATTTCTGTTACCACATTTTGGGTGTTTTATATTATGTGTTATCAAGCTGTGTTTTTGTGTTTTATTTTAGCTTATTTGCACTAATCTTGATGAACTCAGGGAATTAATCACAAAAATCGAGAATGAACTCAAAGATCTGGAAAACAGTAGAAAAAAATCGGTAGGTGTTGATCCAAAAGTTCTATCTGTTATTGTCAGCATTAAAATTTATTCCTTCCTTTTTCTAAAGCCTTTTTAAAAACTTGTTCTCCTGAATTACATGAAATTTGCAATGAAAGATAGAAACATTGTTATTTTTGTTTCTCCTATGTGGTCTAGTTTTCAGTTTTAATATACAAAAATGGTGGTGGGGCAAGTAAATTAATTTTGTTTGCCTGGTTTATCAGGTAAAGTTGTAGGTATTTCCCAATATACTGGTTGGTTGTTTTCTAACTGGTAGTTTTTTGGGTAATGCTTACCTTGCAAATACTCCTAATTACATGCTTTTAATGGAAGTTTATTGCTTAAGTAACAATTTTAATTTAATGTACCATTAGGAACAGGTATAAATTGTTAATCCTGCCCCATATATTTTTGATATATGCTTAATAATATGACTTTATCAACTGAAAGTTTAACTTTCACTATATATTCTAAATCTGTAATTAATCTTTACTTTTCATTTTCCAATTTTTTTATTGCTCTTAAGACACTAGACTAAAAGGGCAGTATAGTCAGTCACCTAATATTTAGTAAAAGACTCAATTTTGTTTATTAAATTAGTAACATCTATTTAGCATGCTTTTATAAGTTGGCTTATGTCATAGACTTGCAACACAATTACACCCCAATAAATAAATGGGGAAGGCTTTAAACATTGAAGAAAATAAATCATTTAAAAATAAAAACCTTTGTTTTATTCCTTGGGAATATCATAATGCCACTTTTTCATCTTTGCTCAGAACCTTTTAATATAAATATGTATAAAATATGGTTAGTAATTCACAAAATTTGATAATAGGAAACTTATGTGTAGATAGCACTCTGAAGGCAGAAGTACCATAAACATATATAACCTTCTGAGGTTATTTAATACTAGAGTGAAATAGCCATAAGCATTTTAGATGTCCTCATGTAATAACCCCTAAAAGTACTACTATTATATGAGACAGAATAATGTTCATAGTCATAGCCATCAATTAGCAAGAAAAATTATGTTCAATATATAATCTGAAAATGTAGAAAACTGTATAATATATTTCAGAACTATTTCCACTAAAAATGGTTTAGACCCACATATTTTAGGTATATGGGCAGTCTCTTGATATAGAAAACCAAGCATCTCATTAAAATTTACTGCTATAATATATTCCTTAAGTAATCATTTATATTACAATAGAATATTTTCTCTGCAGCCAAAAGTTTTTTTTTAATTTTGATATTTTATGCTTTTAAAGGACTGATTCCTTTTTTTTTTTTTGAGAGGTTTTTTCGCTATAGGGCACGTGCGCTCACCAGACAGACAGAGACATAGAGACAGAAAGCGAGAAATCACCCCCCAGGGGGGATGGTCACGCCGCAATCCCTTCTCCTCTATTCTCCTCTTGGGATCTTGGGCACGCACGCACACGCGCCCAGCGTGAGTTCTAAGCCACCGGGTCCAGGACACGAACCGCGGTCGACTACGTGGGAATCCAGCGACATAGCCATTACGCTAACTGCTGGTTCCCTACAGGACTGATTCTGATCCTAGGAAATAGCAGTCTTTTTTAAAAGACCAGGTGTTATTTACACTTTTTTGCAGAAGCTATTTCTTTTCAGTGATATGTCCATATTTCATGACTCTGGACAGAATTCAGTTAAAGTTGCCAATTGTTTTTTATGCTGCATTTAAACATAACATACTTAAATTTCATTCTATATTATAAACTATTAATAGAATTTTTGTTTTTAATGCACAATTTCAACCATAAACAGTTGACATTGTAACCCTTGAAGGCATGTTTGTCAGAAAATTTCATACTACATAAAGGACTGAATTGATTAGATTTTATATCTCCAAACTAATTCGTCCATGACTCTATTACTTGCATATTGGTTTTTAAATTTGATGTCCAGTTGTAGAAATTATTGGAACCATACTTAGGATAATCTTATTGAGATTATCAACATATGAGCTATTTCCCCTTAATTTAAACTGCCTGAAAGATTGTTTTATGAACAGATTATCTCAACCAGTAAAATGATCACAAAGTATATAGCAAATAGACAATAAAAGTTTACATCTCAGTATCATTCCTTATTTTTATAAAAACTAATAGTGAGTATGATAGATGTTACAGGAATGAACTTTATTCAATGTTTATGTTAATATTTTTATCATTTTATTTGGCTGGCATCATTTGGAAAGAAGGTGTTCCACATAACTTATTTTTCTAGATAACTGAAACTTAAACCTTCAATACTGAAACACTGAATCACTTAATGGGAAAAATTCTACCTACTTGTACTATACTGAACACAACATAATCTTTTCTTGATAACTCAAGGGTCATAATTATGAATATCAATAATTATTACTCTAAAAATGTCTGTGATATCAATAGCTCTAATTAAACACTTACCAAAAGACTTTAATACTGTATATTTTGAAGAATTGTTTGTTTGATTTTATTTTGTTCTGTTTTTTTGCTTTGTTCTGTCTCTTTCTTCATTGCCAGACTGTCTTGTCAGCTGTCATTTCTTGTGTGTATTCCTATACTTGCTCTAGCAGCTATACTGTGGGTTAAGAAAGTAAGTAACCATACTTACTAGAATTGGGCTCATAGTGAGGATCTGAGGGACTTGTTATTCATGATAGAGAACTTGCATATGAGAGACAGAGTGAGAGAGAAGTAGCAGCCTCAACAGTATCTTGTCACAACATAATCCCCATCTTGTCACAGCCATCTAGTTTATCAGGATCTTGGACATGCATACATGCATCTACCTGGTTTGTGTTTTAAGGCCAGCTTGGGGACCTATACCTACTGTTAGCCATGTATCTTCCAGCACTGCATGTCTGTTTGCTGTTTACTGCTCCATTAGGCTGGGCCTGACTTAATAACGAAGTCTATGAATTTGGTCATAGCAATAGCTGATTCCTCATCATGTGAACTTCTTTCATTATTGCCTGACCAGTGAGGTTTAATATTGATTTTAATAAGAGGCGATCACTGTCAAAACTAAAATAATATTTAAAGTCAAAACTATTCTATTATTCATTATCAACTTTCATATCTACAATAATGGCTCCAGTAACAAAGAAGATATATTCCATGTAAACACTCAAATGTCATTACTAAAAAAAGAAATTACCAGTGTGACAGAGGATGTAACATGGATTCATATGAAACACCTAACTGCTTTTGGGGACTTGGTTTCTTCTCTTCAGAGCCTTTCCAGTAGTTTTTCCCACCAAAGAAATAAGGAAATATGACCCCAGGTCAACATTTCCTTTAAAAACTTTTTGTTTCTTTTCAGTTTTGCCATAGAGCGCGTACATTCGCCAGAGAGACAGAGGAAGTGAGAAAGTACCTCTTGTGGAGAATGATCACACTGCAGTTCCTTCTCTCCCATTTTTCTTTTTCTTTTTTTAAAGAATTATTTTATTTAACTTTATTTATTTACTTGCTTGCTTGCTTATTTATTTATTTATTTTAGTTTGTCCAGAGAGGGACTGAGTGAGTGAGAGAGTGAGAGAGAGAGAAAGCAAGCCGCCGGGTCCAGAACTCCAACCGCGGTCAGCCATGTGGGAATCCAGCACCTTCAACCACCACACCACCTGCCAGCCCTGGTTCTTTTCCATTTTTCATTACTTTTGAGATTTGGGGCTCATGCACACAGGCATACCTGGCATGTTTTTTCAGGCTACCAGTTCCAGTACTTAAATAGAACACTGGTTTTTTTTTTTTTTTTGGAGAGATTTTCACTGTAGGGCGCGTTCGCTCGCCAGACAGACAGAGAGAGACATAGAGACAGAAAGCGAGAAATCACCCCCCAGGGCGGATGGTCACGCCGCAATCCCTTCTCCTCCATTCTCTTCTCGGGATCTTGGGCACGCACGCACACACGCCCGGCGTGAGTTTTAAGCCACCGGGTCCGGGACACGAACCGCGGTCGACTACGTGGGAGTCCAGCGACATAGCCATTACGCTAACTGCTGGTTCCCATTAGAACACTGTTGACCTTGTGCGATCTAGCCATTTTAACCATCTAGCCACTTGCTAGCCTGTTTTGGTTTTTTGTTTTTAATTAATAGACATATGATTTTAGGGCAGTTTTATCTTGACATACAGAAGCTTTTTAACTTCTTAGAAGTTTGCCAGTGAGCTACTCATTGTATATAGTCCTTTAAAATTTAGATTGTTTATTCATTCTTACAAAATAGATTCCATTTATGATTAATAATGTAAAGAGATGGACCAGGTGATGGCGTAATGGTTATGTTGCTGGACTCTCACATTGAGTCCTGGACCTGACAGTTTAAACTCATGATGGGCACATGTCTGTGCGTACCCAAAATCCCATCAGGAGAATGGAGGAGAAGGCATTGCAGCGTGGCTCTTCCCCCATGGGATGATTTCTCACTTTCTGTCTTTTTGTCTCTCTCTGTCTCTCCAGCAAGTGTATGTTCCCTAAAGCAAAAATTTCTCTCTGAAAAAAAAATATGGAGAGAAAAATGCTTTAGTTTTCTCTAGTTTACTCAGTTCACTTGATCCTATTGCTTCATTTAGATCTTAGGCAAAAGGTTTCACATCCTTTACATTTTACAGTGCTAATAAACTCAATTATCTACATAAGATTTCTTTTAATAGAAACAGATTGTTGAGACCAGCAGATGGCAAAATGGCTACATCGCTGGACTGCCATGTAGCTGACCACAGTTCGAGTCCCAGACCCAGTGACTTAAATTCACACTGGGTGCATGTGCGGTGCACCCAGGATCTTGAGAGAAGAATAGGGGAGATGGGATTGCGGCGTGGCCAAGGCCCCTGGTGGGTGATTTCTCACTTTCTGTCTCTCTCTCTCTTTCTGGTGAGCGCATATGCCCTATAGCAAAAACCTCTCAAAAAAAAAAAAAAAAAAGGGAGAGAAAAAGAAATAGGTTGTTTAGCAAAGTCCTTTATTTTTTATTTTTTT